TGAACTTAGGTCTTGGAAAAGACACCTGAGAATACTACCGAGAGCCAAGAAAACAAAGTAATAGATCATTGAACAAATCATCCCAGAGTTCTCACAGGAGGCAAAAATGTCCATGTTCAAATTACTCACTTCACACAATTTCTACAAACACTCTAAGGAAGACTTTAATGCTTGGAAATGTGGAAGGAAAGAGAAGAACAGGATATCCAGCTGCAAGATAGATAAAGTCTATTACAATGCCAATGGAGCTGAAATACCAAGTTAGAAACAGTTTGTCATACTAATTTTATATATAATTAGTATGTATATATGTGTGTATATGTACACCTACACATACATACACTTACCACACACATATACATTTGCACCCACATACATATGTATAAATCTCCTGTGAGATCCAAATGGCTGGATGTTGTGGCCCGCTAGCGGCCTGCGTGGATCGTGGCTGATCCCGACAAGGAGGCTGGTGTGGCATCACGTCAGCAGCCTGCACAGCCAGCGCTCGCATTGGACAGCGAGGAGGCTGAAGAGGATGTGGTGCCAGAGGCAGAGACTCAGCCAGGACCTTCAGAACCTCCAGAGGCTCCTTCAAGTGGAGAGAGAGAACTGGAGGAGCCTCTTCTCAATGCTTGAGCATGCAGGGCTGCCAAAAGGCAGGAGTGGCTACTCAGGAGGAGGAGGTCTCCTCGAGAGTAAGGCTTGAGGATAATTGGCCACTCCCTTAGCCTATTTAAGTCACAAGACGTTAGTAAGTTTCTTGCTGGAAACAACTTGTAATTATCATCAGAGCATTTTTGGAAAAGTCTTATCGTATCTTGTTTTCTGGGCTGGTTGCCAGCCTTTGCCGGACTTTGGTTTATTCTTGCTACTTAATAAATTTGATAAGGACCGTTGGTGTGTGTCAATATCCTCGGGAATCCAGAGTTGGGGCAGAACACTGGACCACTAAGAGGATCATGTTGAAAATCTGGTTCTCCCTAGAGGCATTGGGTTGGTGATAATATGTAAAACATTATTTGCACTGTAGTGGAGTTTGTTTTTGCTTTCCAGCATAGCTACTTTTTTACTGTGGCTACTACATTTCTCGTTTTGTTTTGTTTTTAATCCTCATAAGCTACTCTGAGTCTTTGCTAAATGGGTAGCCTTTGATTTCTAAGTTAATCAATTTTTTAAAAAGTATCTTTGCGTAAATTCATCAGGATAAACAGGTGAGTCTTCTGTCCTCCCTTATAATCACATCACTTTAATCTATAATGTTAATTTAGCTAAAGATTATTTCTTAAATTAAAAATGCAACATGAAAAAACAAGCAATCTGCTGGAAGGCAGAAGGTATTCACTGTTCTACACAACTGCCTAATTTCCATTGATTCATTTGGCTGAATTCACAAACTTTTAAAAAATCTTTCTAAATTGAAACAATTTGTACTTGGGAACTGTTTACATTTTTTGTATAATAAAATTAGTGCAGGGTGATTAATATATTACTAGAAATTAAAAAAAATATTTTCAGCTTCTTAATTTCAGCTTCTGTTGATGGTGATTGAATTAAATATCAGAGTTAGGCAGGCAAAGTATTCTGTGCTTTGGGGCAGGGTTTCCTTATTGTAGGCAGCATTATCATCAAATTATTTAATTAATCTTCTATCACTCCGTTTAATTTTAACATTTTAATGGATGAAGTCTGCATTTGTTCAGTTTTGGTGAATAGATGATTCATGGCCAAGAACTCATTTTAAGCAGCATGAAACTTCTGTCTAAGGTCTTACTGAGGTATGTTTTTGATTGCTATTGATTTAAGCAAGGCCAAGCAAAAATGCAGCATATAGCAAATCTCTGAGCCAAGACAGCAGAGTGGATATGTAATTCAATTTCAGAGCTGATCCAGTGACAACAGCCTATGCTTGCAATGATTATGGACATGGTCCAGCAGTTTGTTACCCAAGTTTTTCAATTCTGCATTTTAAGGAGAACACAGCTTGAGCGGGCATTTCAAGTTCCCAGGACACTATCAGCTCCAATGTAATGTGAGTTCAGAGCATTTGCTTTTATCTGACAGCCAATAAGAGTGTTCTTTTCTTGGCAACAGGTAGGTAACATATATCTCAACCGATCATTGTTCAGCTCTAGGGCATCTCCGTTTGCAATGATGTTTTGCTTCTTGCAAACAGATGTTTCCAATTGCAAATACAAAGACATACATATGTCTTTGTATATCTACATGAAATCTGTGGCCTGACATTATGCACAATTCCATCAGTGATACTGACCCTCATCCTCATCTTCCAACTACAGGCTATTGGAGGAATTGCAGAGCAGCCATTTCTCCCAAATAAAATCTACATTCTACATACCTTATCTAGATTCAGAATAGCGTAGTTTGACCCAAAGACATCTTCCAAAGTAATTGATCAGTTTCAAGCCACGTTTTAAAAAATGATCTTTCAACCCAGAGATTCCCAACCCCCAGGCCATAGCCCATTACTGGGCCATGGCTGGTTCGGAAGGCACACCCATGTGACAGTCCACCTTTTGCATGGGACAGTTCCCCTCCCCCCCTGCAAGGTTGGGGACTGCTGTTCTAACCAATGGTTGGAACGTATGGAAATATTAGTGGTTTTCTATCTAATGGATAAATTATATAAAGATAATTAGCTGACTGCAAATCGGTAAGCGATTATTCACTACAAAATGGTACAAATTCATATGAAAGATACATCACCCAACCATGTAACATCAGCAGTGCTGGAAGGGAGAGGGGTTTGCAAACCTCCCTCCCTTCTAGAACTGAGGATGTTATCTAATTAGGGTAATGAAACATCTGCAAGCAAACAGACAAACTCAGAGAACACCAAGGAGCCCACACTTCAACCCCAAGTTATAAATATTCTCTCCCATTAGATATAGAGATAGACAGATAGACAGACAGATAGCTAGATAATATATAGATGAGGATGAGGATGATGAGGATGAGGATGATAGGGAGGGAGGGAGGGAGGGAGACAGACAGACAGACAGACAGATGGATAGGTCAATAAATAATAGAAAAGTGAGTGAGTGAGGGGAGGGGGGCAGGCAGGCAGGCAGGCAGATCAAGTAACTCACCTACAAAATTTGGATTGTTGCAGTGGAGTCAGAGACCTCCCTGTTCACAGTTTTAAGCTGACAAACACACACACAAACAAACAAACGTGCACACCTAGTGCTGCAGTACAAAGGGCCCATTAATTTCACTTTAATTTATCTTACAATTAAAGATACAGAGTAGCCAATGCAAATAAGATTATGACAGAGAAGAAACAAAGAATTATTATTATTATTATTATTATTATTATTATTATTAACTTTATTCATTAAACATGAAACTCAGTCAACTGAACATTCAAAAATGCCTCAGAAATACCACTGACTGGTGTTAATGATTGATACGGGTTGCTGCCAGCGTCCTAGGTATCAACCAAATATTTTCTTAAGATGTACGATGTTTCAAGTAGCGCAGTTTTTTGCAGTTCCGCTGGTGTTATTGCATTAAACTGCAATTTCTTGATGTATCTTATAAAATTTTTGGACATGGTACCAAGTGCCCCGATGACAGTGGGTATCACTGATACATGTTTCATCCATAGCCATGTAGCTTTGATGGCTAGGGCGTGATATTTCATTATTTTTTTCAGTTCTTTTTCTTCGACTCTGGCATCTCCTGGTACCGCGATGTCAATGTTTTTGTTGCTGTTGTTACTATTACTATTACTATTACTATTATTATTATACTATTATATTATTATTATTATTATTATTATTATTATTATTTAATCTTTAGTGAGATTCACAGCCTTTGAGGCTGATTAATAGCTCAGCAGCTCGAGTCCTAACTAAGGACCTAGGAACTGTTAAGGTATCGTCGGAGGATGTAAGCTGTTCTGAGTAAGGTGGGTTTTTGTAGAGTCAAAATGTTCAAGTCCAGTAAATTTAGAATTTCTAAATAGCGGGGTAGCCCTTTGGGTATTGCCCCAAGGGCTCCAAATATAAGCGGGACAACACACAATTTCTTTTTCCACAGTCGCTCAACTTCAATTTGCAAGTCCCGGTACTTTGTGATTTTTTTCTTGCTGCTTATCTTCAATCCGTGCATCACCAGGTATTGCAATGTCAATGAATCATACTTTTTTCTTTTCAACTATTGTTATGTCAGGTGTGTTGTGGACCAAGTGCCTGTCAGTCTGAATTCTGAAGTCCCACAAAATCTTGAATTTCTCATTCTCTAAAACTTTCTCAACCTGATGTTCCCAGTGGTTTTTGCTGTACTCAAATCCAAACTTCTGGCACAATTTCCAATGAATGATCTTAGCAATGCGGTCATGACATTGTAGGTAGTCAGTTTGTGAAAGTTTGCTGCACCCACTGATCAGGTGGCATTATTATTATTATTATTATTATTATTATTATTATTATTATTATTTAATCTTTAGTGAGATTCACAGCCTTTAAGGCTGGTTATTGCTCAGCAGCTCGAGTCCTAACCAAGGACCTAGGAACTGTTAAGGTATCGTTGGAGGATGTAAGCTGTTCTGAGTAAGGTGGTTTTTTGTAGAGTCAAAATGTTCAAGTCTGGCAAATTTAGAATTTCTAAATAGTGGGGTAGCCCTTTGGGTATTGCTCCAAGGGCTCCAATTACAATCGGGACAACATATTATTATTATTATTATTATTATTATTATTATTATTATTATTATCATCATCATCATCATCATCATCATCATCATCATTATTTTGCTATTTAGCAAAGGACTTCATCTATTGGATAATATTCTTTAAGGCAAACTATGTGGCTAACATTGTAGATAATGTTGGGCTGATTCTCACTTCCTCGTGTACAGATAATTGTGATAAATTTTGCTGGCTCACTTGCATTAAGGGCACATAATAGAGATTCTGCAATGTACTTTGAAAGTACAAATGCTACATAAACTATTGGGATTATCTGTTCTTTTTCTTCAGTTGATGAAGAATCCATCTACAGCTAAGCGATCTGAAGACAATCATTCATTCAGTATGGGAATGATTTTCCAAGCCTTTCATCTCCAAAGGCAACACCAAGCATATCATTTAGCCAATAAACTTCTATTTATTTTGAGTTACAGACCTAACAAGCTTGGCTTCTACAGAATGGAGTTCTCTTTGTTTTTCACCTTTATGCACCTTGAAAACTCATTCATACCTATTTGCACATTGTCATCCAATTCTTGGATAATGAATGACCTTTCCACCCTTATTTATGTGTGTGTGTCTATGTTAATTCACTTGAAGAGCTTGTTTTAGGCTTAGAGAAGTCTTAGATTATATTCTAATTTAGAGATGTGCTAGATAATTGGGGATAAAATGCTTAGAATGAAAAGTGAATTGTAAAAATTAACTGCTTGCATAGTCTGGTCAGATGTTAGGTAACACAGAGGAACAACAAAAATTAAGATTAATCTACAAGAACTTCTGTAATTTTAAAAATTCATGCATGCACTACAGTTTTATGCTTACAAGTTATATGTTTCTCCAGACAACAGTTGTATTCCTGCCTATAAGGTACTGTATTTTTCATCCTAGGGAGATTTCGTAATATCAAAGATTCTTTTTTTCTAATCTTTCTGTCAAGGGTAGTTAATTAGTCAATTTGCCAACTTCTCTCTGTCTCTCTGTATTATTATTATTATTTGCACTAAGCCATAGAAAATGCTTTAAAGAATTCATATATTTCATGTTTAAATTATAATAAAATTAGTCATTGCTCTGTATTATTTAGGATGGAAGGATACATTTCCATTTCATATTTCCTGCAGATTTTCTGATTAGGATTTCCAAAATCTAAATATGAATAACAATGCAAATTTCAACTTTTTTAAAAAAAAGTAGACATTCAAATATGTATATACCAGGGGTGTCAAACTCAAGACCTGGGGGTTGGATCTGGCCCATGGGATACTTAGATCTGGCCCATGGGGCTGGCCTGTGGCCCTCCTGAGCTCCATTTTCACTGGCAGAGGGTTGCAGGAGGCTGTGGCAGCCAAAAATTGAAGCTTGCGAGCCTATTTTCGCTGGCAGAGCTTGGGCCACCACAGGTGCCCCTGACACTAGTGATGTCAAGCTGGCCACACCCACCCCAACCCCCCTAGGTCAAACACAACCATGATGCAACCCTCAATGAAATTGAGTATGACACCCTTGGCATACACCGTACAAGCAAAAAATGCAACCATAAGGGATTTATGAAAAAATGTTTTAAAAAGAAGTGGTGGTCATGAAAAGTGCATTAGAAAGAAATGCACTTTAGAAGAAATACATGTTAGAAGAAATATTAAATGAATGTATTAGATGAAGAAAATCCAAATGTGTACAAACACTTTTTTTTAAAATGAAAATATATGAAAGAAAAAATCAGTCAAATCTTGAGGTTGGAAAAAAGGAGAGTGGACTGAACATTATCTTAATAGATTCACCCATCTTTAAAGTGCCTTGAGGTTGAAACACTTTTACTACTGGAGAGACAAGTCCTGTACACAATAGTGATTTTAAAGCTTCCTGTCCCAACTGTTTTATTATATAATGCCTTTTGCAGATCATTCCAGTAAAATGATTTACTGTACAGAATGGTCAGTAAAGGTACTGACATTAGGTAAAGGTAAAGATTCCCCCTGCACAGGCATGCTACTCATTTCCAGCTCTAGAGTGGTGCTCATCTCCGTTTCAAAGCCAAAGAGACAGTGCTGTCTGGAGACATCTCTATGGTCATGTGGCTGGCATGACTAAATGCCAAAGGTGCACGGAACGCTGTTACCTTCCCATCAAAATGGTCCCTATTTTTCTACTTGCTTTTTTTATGTGCTTTTGAAATGCTAGGTTGGCAGAAGCTGGGACAAGTAATGGGAACTCACCCCGTTACACAGCATGAGGGATTTGAACAGCTGAACTGCCGACCTTTTGATTGACCTTTTGATTGATTTGCGTCTTAGCATCTTAGTACTGACATTAGTGTGGCTTAAATACTAACCAGCAAACTTCAGTTTATAAAAGAGAAAAATAATTTGCCCATGATTTATAAAACTGGACTTTGCACACTTTGAAAATTATTTGAAAGAAATGCTTTTGACCTTGGAAGAGCACATCTCTCTGTATTCATTAGAGTTGCTCATAGTTTTTCATGCCCAAGCAGCAGCATACTGGGCTAGAAACATCCAACCTATCATTGGCCATCACCATACCAATCAATCAATAGGAAAGCACCATGTAAATATGACACATAGAGTAGCCCAAACCACACATTCTAGTAGAGAGAAGTTGCCTGAGGATGGACTCCAGCACAAGTCTGAAAGCTCAGAAGACTAAACCTCCAGTCCTGGTGACTGAACCAGATTGCAATAGCAATAGCAATTTTACCCATCTCGGAAGGATGGAAGGCTGAGTCAGCCTTGAGCCTGGTGAGATTCGATCTGCCAAACTGCAGGCAGCTGGCAGTCAATAGAAGTAGCCTGCAGTACTGTACTCTAACCAGTGCGCCACCTCGGCTGTAATACCCACCTCGGCTCTAATACCCAGCCTAATCCACTCAACTTCACCCAAATACTTAGGTGTGATATTTAGAGATACTGAGGGAAAATGACAACAATGACAGTTGACTAAACTGTCATTGTTGGGGGAAAAAGTTCACCCCTTGGCTGTCTTAACTCAAGATTGAAATCACAAAAGCCATGGTAATTCCCCACTTGGTGGAACTGAAAGTGGCATTCTAAAGAAGAATACTTCTGAGAACAAGAAAGAAAAGCCAAGAAAACAAACTGAAACGATTATCAAACAAATTCACCCAGAGTTCATATGCACAAATGACCACGCTCAAAATTCTAACTTAGATATACTATGTAAAGACCAAGCCCTCTGAAAAAGGTTTTGATACTCGCTAAAATGGAAGGAAAGAGAAGAAGGGGATGACCAGCAGCAAGGTGGATGAACTGAATTATAGTGGTGATGTCCTTAATGTTCAAGTCCTTGAGAGACTTGAAACTATCCTAACAAGCTAGGATAGATTGTCATGGGGGAAAATCTATCTACGTGGTTGCTAGAAGTCCAAAAACTACTTAAAGGCCCACAATCAATCAATCAGCCTTAACTCAGCCACTTTGTGAGTTTTTGCTGGTTTAAAGTTAGAAGCCTTCTTCTTAAAATGATTGCAAACAGAATTGGCTGACTCTTGGTATGGTTACAAAGGACATGCCTGATCTTTTATTTGTTTATTTTAAAGTATTGTTTACATCAAATAAAAGAAAGAGGCTAATATTTCATGATAAAAGTATATTGTAAGTATTTTATGAAATAAGGAAGGAATCAGAATGCTGGAGTTTATGTTTACATTTTGTAGTTAATGAAAATACTTTGCAACGGAGAAGCTGTTAGTACTTACCATCACTCAAAGCTTTGTAAAGAAGCTTCATAGAAATATGATAGGCTTAGTATCTGATGGATTATGTGTCATATCACATGCACCGAACACATTTTTCATATTCTAATGAGGTAGTTTCTTTTTATCTGGTGTCTTGAGCATAAACCTGGCTAACAAATGATGCATGAAATACCTATTCAGTAAACAGGGATCAGCTATGGTTATTCAAGTGATGCTACAGTGAAGGCTCCCATAAAATTTAGATTTGTCCTCATTTTTAAGTGAACAGATTGAGTTCAAAACAATATTTACATTTGGAACAATTCTTTCTACAGAATTTGTAACTCAGATCTCAGCTGAAAAATTGTATGGAAAATGTAATATTACAAAAGGGAAGGTTGTGCTAAAAACAGACACATTAGGTAATTTGTATATGAAAATGTATGCAAGAGAGAAAAAGATAAATATAGATAGACAGAAGAGGAGATAGAGAGATGAGAAAGAAAGAGACTAAGTATGAAAGACAGAAATTACTGAATGTCAGAAATGAACAGAATGAAATTATGAACTGAATAAATGTGAAATTTGCAATGATACAGAGATAGATGTAAGTTCAGTTCTAAGTAGGGATCAGATTTTAGAATGTTTTGATTTTACACTGACAGATTAAAAGCCTCCTCCAGTCTTTAGCATAGCTAAATGGGAATTCCAGGAGCTATTGTTTTAATATATTAGAAGCCCCATGTATTAGTGGTGTAGTAGAAAGGTGAGCTAAATAAACCTGCGTTTCATTATAGAACAGAAGCTGATACAGCCAGAATAATTGCTGAAGGCAATTGACAGATTGAAACATTTTGAAAAGGTTGGTGAATCATTTTACAACAAAAGAAATGGAGAGATTCTTGAGAGATCCCTTTCCCAATTCATTTTTCCCGTCTGCAGCCCCCTTCCCTATTTTCAATATTGCAACAAGCATGAGGCACTGCTATGCTGGTAAGTCTTTATGAGTATTTTAGCCTTGAATAATCACAATATGTTTTTTTTTTAACAGAAGTGATTTGTCTTGCAGACAAGACTCAGAGTAACATAATAACTGAATTATTATGCATTTTCTACATGAATACTTTTTTTTCTGTGTAGGAAACACTGAAAGCCATAGTGCTAATAATTATACATATATTTCGTTCCCTGCTTTCCCAATACATGAGAGTGCATTCATATAATGTATGATGAAGAACCTGATCTGAAATAGATAGTATCCATTTCTAGGGGTGTTTAAATAAAATAACTATTGACATAGCTGGATTGGCTTCAGTTATGGGGTATCATTTTGTTTTTGTTTTTTTACTTTACTTGTTGGGTTCATCTGAAGTTATTGATTCAGGAATGAATCTTAATCAGGTCACGTCTTCTTTGCTAATGATATATTGTGGTTAAACAGATCTGGATGACCCATGGATGAAACATTGGAATTTGTTTGATATGTTTAATTGAATAGGTTTTCTTTACTTATATGTTTTATTTTATTCAGAACAAAGTTAAAATACAAAATACAAAACTAAAAAAAATAATAATAATCCAAGAAGACATAAAGGGGGAAAAAAAACCCCACAAAACACAAAGCAGTCAGAACATTACAATGGTGTAATAAACAAACCTACACATACACATATTATTCCCTCTAGTTGAATACTGATTAATATATTACTACAACATTA